ATGGGAACACCGCATACAGAGGTGATTCATGTATTTCTGACCCTCATGTACTGTCGACCGTCTAAAGAATTGATCGTTGTACGTAGAATTGACGAGCAATTACAAGGAAGCTCGCTTTGGCACCAACTGAATTGGAACTTGATAGGTATCAAGTACCATTTCGGCCTTTTTAAAAATGCTTTCACGATTTTGACAATGGCTTCTTCGAATAGTGGGAATAATTGAGGATCAACAAAGCAGTCAAATATAATGAAATCAATGTTGTACCTGAAACTATACGTAAGGCTTTACCACCCCCCCTCCCGCAAAAAATAATAACAAAATGAATAAATTAAAATTTATTTTAATACTTAACATGGACTAAGACTTACAAAGAACCCTTGGTGAGCTTGTAACAAAATTTGATTTAAACTATGATTTTCCCTTTAAGAAAAAAACGTAAAATCACAACAATGCTTACGGACACTGAAAATCTAACCCTAACCCTAAAACTCCACTCAAATTTGATTTGATCCCAATAATAAACAGAACGAACACTTCGCCTAACTACACCGATCAGGTCTCACCAGACTGAAAACCTTGAGGACTTCATGAAGAGCTTTTATTCTACTTTCTAAACCTGATTATTTTTCTTTCTAGGAAAAAAAGAATCATGCTAATATGCCTGTAAGATATTCTGACAATGGTCAGTCCAAAATAACATTACTCTTTCGAATTTCAGCTCGTGCGTTGTAGATCTTTTGACATGCTTGATGATCTCACTGCTGATCACTCCACTTTTCTCTCCAAGGCACGTTGAGAGACTTTTGATGTACATTAGACTAGTATTCTCACATTATTTCTATTTTTAAAATTGTTTTTTCTTACTTATTCTCCGTTTGACAAACTTGTTGCCATATTCATTGGGATTTCATTTTATGATCTACTGGAAGTGATCAGGTTTACGTGCTTAACTTGTGACTGACCTTCTAGGGTAGTTTGATTTACCTGACTCTATTAATACGTAAAACGGTAACATTTGTCTACTCATGTTCTAGCTATTTGTCAAATTTCTTACAATACTCGATGGGATTTTACAGTCTCTGGAACTGATCGGGTTAATGCGCTTGAGACTGACTTTCTGCCGTAGTTTGATTTAGCAGTCTTTGATACCTAAAACTATTACAGCTCATACTTTATTTGATAGAAAGGATAGCATTGTTCGTCATTAAAAATGACAAAGATCTTTGGTTGATTCTCGTCATCGATACAACTCGGAATCGTACAAATCACTGGCAGGATTATTTGGATCTTTCAGAGGCGGTGGACGAAAATCTTGCCTTCCGAGCTTGTAATCCCCTGTTAAAACACTTGCGAAGAACATGAATCTTGTCTTTTCTCCACTTAGACTGCTGTAGTTATTGCTGTATGAGGCGTCTCTAGCAAAATAGATCCCTTTTCCATACTTTGTCCCATGCTTTCCTCGCAGTCTGTGGTCAAAGTTCTGTTTGCAAATGGCATCAACGACATCTGATGACGTACCATGGAACAGCAACTTCTTTATCTGATCGTTCTCTATGTGATCGTGCCTTTTAGCTTCCAGTTTCTTTTATATTCTTTCCCGCTTTCTAGATTGAGAGAAGATAAAAGGGCTAATCGATAAAAGACTTAAATTCTTACGCGCGTGCTCAAGCTGCACTGACCATATTCCCATTTGAGAAAACTAATAACTTCATTGTTCTTTGTTTTATAACGGTTCGGCTTGTTATATCGCTGGTAGTGCTCGTGGACAATATGAAGCGAATCCTGTGTTCCGACTGGCTGCCCGAGCGGGAAAGAGGGGCTCGTCTTGTCGAGTCGGAATTGCACACTTTGATCCCGCGCAAGAAAATAGATTACTCGGAGCGGACGTAAATTTTGGACAACACTGGCGATGGAGCCACAAAAAGTAACAGAAGACAGTCAAAGCAAAGAAACATAAACGGCTCTCGTGGTTTATTGTGCTGTAGTTTTTGGAAGCTCCGATTTAAACGGACCAAACGTCACTTAGATGTAATCCAAACAATAAAGGCTGAAAGTTTCTAAAAAAGTGTGGTGCTGCGTCGGTGAGGGTAACAAGGTAATTGGTTATATCAACTAAGTTGAAATTGTAAATTGGCCACCGTAACGAATAAAAAAGCTGACGTTTCGAGCGTTAGCCCTTCATCAGAGCGAATGAAGGAGTTGTGGGTGGTATGTGGTTTTAAACGCAGAAAGCGGAGCTACGCCATTGGTTGGAACCTGGCAACGAGAAAAATACGAATAAATTAGGGGAATGAAGAGCGTTCGTTCATACCTATGGTATTAAGAGTGCCGATCTGAAATATTAACTTTTGTTCAAGAGTTTTGCGGCTTTCCGTGTTGTAACTATGTGTGTCTGTTTGTGTTACGTCTCTATTGTGTCACTTGCAGGCCGCACGAAATTACCTCAATAATGACGGAAAGAGCGGAAAGATTAAAGACCCCCGCAAATATCTCAGTTCTAAAAATAAAAAGATACGGGACAGGGTTGACTCAAGGGTACAACTGAGATGGAAGCTCCGGGTAATGGGCTCCTGCTGTGGGATTAATAGTGCCGATTTGAAAGATTCACTTTTGTTCAAGAGTTTTCCGGCTTTGCGGGTTGCCTAAATGTAAGGAAAGACCGCAGATTGCCATATGTTGCTTAGAATGTTTAGGTAAATTAAAGTGTCTAGCGACTGGTTTTCATGCGTCCTTTTCATTCCTTTCCACGTCGCGAAGGTGTTCTCGGAATCGGTCACCTAGTTGTCTTCCTGTTTCGCCGATGTATAACTTTTTGCAATAAGTGCAAGTTATGCAGTAGATAACGTTGGCGGAGGTGCACTTGAAGTGATCGGTGATCTTAATGGATCGCTTGGGTCCCAATATTTTCTCGGCGTTGTGAATGAAGGGAAAAGTTTCGCATCGTGCGGGAGCTCATTTAAAAGTGCCGGATTGGTCATTAGTTTGGAATGAACTACTGACCAAAAAATTGCCCACGCTTTTGTCGCGTTTGAATGAAATAAGTGGAGGTTGCGAAAAGATAGTGCCAGTCTCTGGATCGTTTTGAAGTAATTTAAAGTTTTTAAGAATAATGGATTTAACTGAGTGGTTGTGAGGGTGAAACTAGAGAGTGAATGGAATACGGTCGGAATACAGAAACAGGGTAACCACGTTTTTCGAAAAACTGGCACATTGACTCTGATTTGTGGGAAAAATCAGAGTCATCACTACATAAACGACGAAGTCTTAGAAGCTGAGAAAAGGGAATGGAATTCTTAACATGAGATGGATGCGAAGATGAATACAGCAAGTAACTATGTTAGTCTGTAGCTTTGACCCAGCTATGCCAATCTTTTTGTAGGTTTTGTTGAACACCAAGTTTTTAGCCAATACAATGGCCCCAAACCTGAACTCTACGATCGCTACATCGACGACTGTATCGGCGCTACCTCCTCTATCAGAGAGGAGCTAACTCAATTGATAACTGCGGTCAATATTTTTCACCCGGCTCTAAAATATACCTGGGAAATTTCCGACAATTCTTTATCCTTTTTAGATATCAAAGTTTCAATTGAAGGCAACGATTTATCCACTAGTGTGTATTACAGCTTTTTTATTTGTTATGGTGGCTAATTTATAATTTCAACTTATATTTGATATAACCAATTACCTTGTAATCCAAACGGAAGACTGAATTTTTTAAAATGAGCTAGATCATTGTAGAGTCAGCCTCAGACGTGAGATGGGCAGTCATCCTTGCAAATTTGCACATAATCTTTCCTTGCTAGTATACGTTATTAGCCAATTTAAAAGTTTGACCCTTCGTATCTCTCAAGTAACTCTTCATTCCAATTTTTTTCCATCATCACTATGGAGGCTTGGTGTTCTGGCATTGTTTCGTGAAAGCGTCGACTCACTCTACATAATCTACAACC